GGCCGGGGGTGCTGGGGAGTTCCCTGGGCGGTTGGGGGGTCCTGAGGCGGAGGGGGGTCCCTGAGGGGACTGTGAGGCTGCGAGGGGGCAGTTGGGGTGGGGATCCCCCGACTGGGGCTCCTGGCAGCGCTTGGAGGGGGCTGATGGGGGCCTAGAAGGTTAGACCCTAAAATTGTGCAAGGGTTGGGGGGCCTTGGGGCCAAGGGTGGGCAGACAGACAGACCGACTGACACACGGCAGTGCCTGGCTCTGGTGGGGAGTGGTGGACGGGGTATTTGGCACTTGAGGCCACTCCTGGTTAATAGGGACACTCCTGCTGTGTGGAGCTGATCCATGAGGCTGATACGGCAGTGGGGATCATGCCTGCCACAGTTCACACTGCTCTGGGTGACTCTGTGCCCAGCACACACATCTCCGCTCTGTCTTTGTAGAAATACTACCCGCCGGACTTCGATCCTGCTAAGATCCCAAAACTCAAACTCCCCAAGGACCGACAGTATGTGGTGCGGCTCATGGCTCCCTTCAACATGCGGTAAGAGGGGCTGTACCCATCAGAAGGAAGCAGCAGTAGAAGAGAGGAGTTTGCTTAAGAATTGTTTCACCTCCATACGCTGCAGGGGAGCTGCTGCCAGCAGCCATTAGAGGTGACACAGTCCAGAAGAAAAGGGGTGAGGGAGAGGGAAGAGATGCTGTGGGTGATTTTGGCGTACTGAATTTCCAAAGGAGAAGATAACCATTGTTCAGAAGCTGGGCTGACACAGCCTGAAAATCACTTGGACTTTTCTTGGTCTGTTTGTTCCCTTTTTTGATATTTTATGGACTTTTCTTTCTCCTTTTCTAGATGCAAGACATGTGGTGAATACATCTATAAGGGGAAAAAGTTTAACGCCCGTAAGGAGACTGTTCAGAATGAGGTGTACCTGGGACTTCCCATCTTCCGCTTCTACATCAAATGCACGCGCTGCCTGGCAGAGATCACCTTCAAGGTGAAATACGTTCTGTATTTTCTGCGCTCTCACCTTCTGAGGAGGCTGTGCAGCCTGTGGACATGACTGGGTGCTGACCCCGTGCAGAAGGGGTATCCTAGCAAAGACCTAGTCTGAGCATGTGCTTTTTGATGTGTCTTCCCTTTTCATGGCTGTTTAGTTCGGAAATGTTTTGCCCATCCATGGTCTGCAGCACATTAGCTGGAGCAGAATAAAAGGTCGTGGGTGATTGCCTGCTCTGTGATGTGAATGAGCTCGGGAAACGTTTGCATGCAGCTCTGGAAGTGGCCACAGGATGGCTGGAGCAGAATTGCCCCAGTACAATGATTTTGCTGTCTTGTTTCTTCCTTAGACAGATCCTGAGAACACAGACTACACCATGGAGCATGGCGCCACTCGCAATTTCCAAGCTGAGAAGCTCTTGGAGGAAGAGGAGAAAAGAATGCAGAAGGAGAGGGAAGAGGAAGAGCTCAACAATCCCATGAAGGTACAAGAATGTGCCCTTCTCTGCAGAAGGCAAACCTCTCTCCTGCCTTGGCTGGCTTTCCCCTGCAAAGCAGATGACTTTGTAGCCATTGGTTTAGTTCTCCAGTCTCCCAAGGTGTTGCTGCGCTCTGGACAGGCAGGAGCCAACTCTCTGCCCTCAGAAGGGTTCCCCCTGTGCTGAAACTTGTGCCAGGCTGTGTCTTGCCCCAGTTTTTCCTGTCCTAGAATGAGGATGATGATGATCTTAGCACTTTCTGCCCCATACTGGGTGGGGAGGCGGTATTGGAGATTGCTGGCAGGCTCTGTTACCTCACGTAAGCCTGGCTTCCCTCTGGTCACCCAGGTCCTGGAGAACCGAACCAAGGACTCCAAGCTGGAGATGGAGGTTCTGGAGAACCTGCAGGAGCTGAAGGAACTCAACCAGCGCCAGGCAAATGTGGACTTCGAGGCCATGCTGAAGCAGTACAAGGAGTACGAGGAGGAGCAGAAGCGCAAGGAGCAAGAGGAGGATGAGCAAGAGATGAAGTGAGTGGGCTGGAAGCATTCACGGGCGTGTGAAATCGGCCACGCTGGTCCTGGCGGGGCAAGGGCTGCATCTCACCCTTCCTCTGCACCCCAGGAGCGCTTAAGAAAGGGCGCTGCCTGAGGGGCCTGAGTTCACAGGAGTTGTGTGGGTGGGATGTAGGCCTGGGCAGGCTGTGAGGAGCTTGGGGACAGTTTATCATGGCAAAGTGTTTAGGGAGGTTGAGGGGCTCATGTGGTGGGGAGATCTGAGCTGCTGCAGGGGCCTGACTCGCCCTGAGAAGTGTCTGTGCGTGGAGGGAGAGTTTCTGCACCTGGCTGAGGCTGCAGATCTCAGTGCTATCAACCTTTGGGCAATGCTTGAACGTGACTTCTTAAAAAGCACCTGAGAAGGTGGATCCCGTTGCACTGCTGCTGAATTCCAGCTCCCCTTACAGCGAACAGCGCAGGCACGGTGCACAGCCGGCACCGCTCAGCGTGGCGGTGGAACGGAGCCAGCTCTAACCCTCCGCGCGCGGCCTCTCTCCTTGCAGAGCTATGCTGGAGCAGGCCCAGAACCGGAGGCTACTGGTAGACTCCGACTCTGATGAAGAGCCTGCGAAATCGCGCACGAAGCCTGCGGCCGAAACAAAACCTACGGACATTTTGCAGGAGGTGAGTCAGGGCAGAGGCTCTTCCACCCATCGCAGCTCTTCCCCCAGACCAAATCTGCTGTCCCAGGCTGCGTTGCCTGTTTTGTTCCTGCCCTGTGCGACACTGAAGCCCCAATGCCTGTCACGCATGAGCAGCTTAGAAAGCCAGTGTCCCTGTGCACTGGGCTGAAAGGAGACAGGGATCAGTTGGTGATTTTAGACCATGTCTGCTGACAAAGGCTGGGAGGAAGCTGCCCCCATCGTCGCTGAGGACATGGCTTCCCTTTCAGCTCAAAAAGGACAGGCTCGCCTATGCCTCGGTTGTACTTCAGGCACGATTTCAGCGCTCTGAAAATTACAGCAATGAAACGACTGCCTGGGACAGCCTCTCCTTTGGTTTTGTTTTGTCCGTGTTGGAGACGTGCAGAACAAAAGAGCTTTCAGTGCCCGGCTTGCGAGGGAGGGATTATCCCCACAGACAGGCCCCTGCACTGCTGCTCTCCGATGTCAATCCGTGTCTGCAGGGACCTCTGTCCGGTTGGATGAATCAAAGCTGCCGTGTCTCTAAGCCAGGCTGGGGTTAATCTGAGCGATGTTCCCTGGCCCGGCACTAATCCTCGTGCCCGGAGGGAGTTTGATTCAGTGGCTGGACCACCTGCAGGCGCGCGGTCCTGGCTGGCAGGGCTTGTGCAGCCCTGTGGCATGCATCTGGCTCCTCAGCGTCCCAGGGCCAGCCCGTGGCTGTGCAAGGTTGGATTTAACTGTCACAGGCAGCGGGACGTTTGTCTCCAAGGGCGTTTTGCAGCCGTTTAGATCCATATCCCTGTTGTTTGTCTAGCTTGTGCCAGTCGCTGCAGGGGAAGAATACCCGCCTTGGCTGCTCCGAGCAGCTACCCTCATGTCTCTTGTGCTTTGTGCTGCTGTTTTTACCACTCCTCCTTTTCCCGCATCCCTCCGCCTCCCCTCCAAGGCCAGAGCAAGCTAACGTCCCTGCTCTGCTCTGCAGGACCCTCAGCCCCAGAGTAAGAAGCTGAAGACGGAGAGCTGGGAGCGGAGTGTGGGCAAATTGAACACCAAGTCCCAACTGGCCGGGCTGGTCACAGTGAGGAAGCAGAAGCCAGGTCCTGCCCTGGCTAGTGGGACAGAGAACCAAGGCACCACGGCCAACACCGGTAACTGCCCACGTGGGGATGGGGTGGCCTGAGCTGGGACATCGGGGAGGGTTTGGCAGCACCCCAGTGGTGTTTCACTCTGTCTTCAGAGCCGGAATACTTTCAGGTCAATGTCCTTGTTGTAGGACAGATGGGGGGGCCGTGATGGTGTAAGAACAGGGGGTTGTCCCTGTTTCCAGATCTCCTGATGGAGGAGAGGTTCCTTCCCGGCCCTTGGCCATCAGCCAAGGCCTTGGAGACAGACTGTCAGGGCCAGAAGCTTCAAAACAGCGTCTCGCTGCACAGATAACGACGCTGGGAACCGTCACAACAGCGAGACAGGAATATAAAAGCAAAAAAATTGCGTTGGTTTGGACCCTGATTATAAAACCTGCCAAACTGTAGGAATTGGGAACCTTTAAAGAAGTGGTGAAAACAAGCAGAAAGGCTTTCCGGCACCTCATCGTTTGCTGCCCCAGGAAGCCAGAGGACCCATGGATTTGGGGAGGGAGCCAACGAATTGATTGGTTTGGGGCTGATAGATCCCAAGCCTTTGGCTTAGTAAGTCCCTCTGCCCTCAATGGATCCCTGGGGAAGGACAGCTCTTGTAGTTGCCCCGTTTTTGATACGCTTTCCCCCGCCACCTGCTCCTGGCTGCTGGCAGGGTCTGTTCAGCCAAATTATGCCGGAGGAGCTGCCCGTCTTTTCAAGGACTCAGAGCTCTCTGCCCATGACGTTGCCTCGCTCTTGCAGCTGGCAGCTCACATGGTCAAAGCCGAAAGCTGCTTCCTCTCCTCCATTCCAGTGGCTAAAACCTCCCAGGGGGTTGTGGAGGGAGAAGGGGGTTTTGCAGACCTTGGGCCAACCTTGCCGCTTCCTCCCGTTGCCGCGAGGCAGAAGCAAGAGGCTCCAGCCGAGGGGGTGCGGGGTCTCCTTGTCCACCCGATTTAACCTCGCTGTCCTCATCAAGATTCAGGCTTGGGGGATGAGGCACCGCTCGGACTCTGGCTCCGACGGCCTTGTCTCCAGCTGTGAGCAGCCGGAGCGGTGAGACGGGCTTGTGTTTCCGCCCGACTGGTTGTGCCGAGCCGGCGGGTTTTGCCGGCAACGGGGAGGGCTCTACCTGATGGTGTCTGCTCTTTTGCTTGGCTTCCAGGCTCGTTTCCCACAGCAACGGGCACCACATCCTCTCTCGGCTTGTTGGGGGCGTATTCGGACAGCGAGGACGGCGCAAGTGACTGATGAACGACCGAGCCAGCCCAGAGCAGGGATCGCGGGCTGTCCCCCCCTTCCCAGCTGACAGCAGCTGCTCTCCAGAGCCCCAACGCGGAGCTGGCATCGCCGCTGTCGGGCCCAGCGGGGTTTCCAAGCCATCTGGAGTCCCAGCGTCTTCACCTGCCCGGCCCGGGGTGTGTGTCCATCCTCCACCCTCACTGGCTGACACCACCAGCAGACCGAACCCGGATGAGTCGATCGAGAAGACGGCTTCCTCGGAGGAGGGTATCGCTGCTGCATTGCAGCCGGTGGAAAGCCCCAACGCTGTCCTGGGCCAGTTGTGCCCAAACCCAGTTTCCAGCCAGCCCCAGGGCACGACGTGTCCCAGCTCTGCACCCGTAACGTGTTCGGAAGCGCCAGGGCTGACCAGGACTGGGTAGTTTCTGCGTTCTGGTGGTGCCCACTGCCCTCACCCCCATGCTGGTCATGTCTGGGCCGGGTTACGTGACTCCCCAACCCTCTCACAGCAATAAAGGGACCTCGGGGCCTGCCATCCCTCCTGCCCCACGTCCCTGCGGGGAACGGGGAAGGCAGGAGCTCAGCACCCCTTTTTAGCCGTGGGAGGACTCGCTGCCACTGCTTCGCTGGCCCTGGGTGTCTACTGACCCCCCCGTGGGGCTCGGATCCCGCCTTTGTGGGGTGAGCCCGAATCCCACCTCGTTTTGCTGTTAGAGGTGACACATTCTGCATCACGGACGCGGGGGGCTCGTCTAGCCCCATGCTGCGGGACGAGGCTGTCCTGGCTGGGCTGCCACCGGCCTCCATCCTCTGCCCAAGTCCCCCCCGTGCCCCAGCAGCTTGGTGACAAACCCCTCCCCGCCATCCGGAGAGCAGTGGGGTTCGCTCAGCTCTCGGGCAGGCACCGCCCGGTAATAAACTGGATGTGTCAGAACCAGTTGTCTCTTCATCTTCCAGAGCAGTAATTCGTACGCGGGCAGTGTAAACTAATGAAATCCAACAAGGGCAAGGGTAGGGTCCTGCACCAGGGGAGGAATAACCCCCTGCACCAGTACAGGTTGGGGGCTGACCTGCTGGAGAGCAGCTCTGAGAGAGGGACCTGGGAGTCCTGGGGGACAACAGGATGCCC